GCCGCTAAGGTGTCCCCTTCAGGAGCCGTCTCTTCTCCAGCTGCCCCAGCCCAGCTCTCTCAGCCTGGCTCCAGAGCAGAGCTGCTCCAGCCCTCGCAGCAGCTCCGGGGCCTCCTCTGGCCTCGCTCCAGCAGCTCCACAAAGCTGGTCACTCGATGGTGTGATTTCCCTGCCCTTTTCCAACCCCTGCCAGCAATCCCTGGGGAACACAGCCAACACACCTGGGCTTTTGGAGGATGGTGGCAGGAACTGGACTATGCTGAGAAGTTTGGGGCTCTCAGCAGCCCCCCAGAAGCCTGCACTGGGGTGCCTGTGGGCAGAAGGCAGCAGCTCCCAGTGCAGAAGGGCTGGAACTGGGTATGGATGGGAAGCACTGGACAGATCCTCAACTGCTCTGCTCCTTCCTCCCTCTCCCCAGGGGCTTCAGGGCTTCCAAGGTGACCAGGGGCTGGCTGGCGAGAAGGGAGAAGAGGTAAGCTGGCTCTCACTGCCCCACTCCCAATGCAGACACTTATCGCCAAGCAGCAAGAGCTCTTTGTTACTGGCTCCACTGGTACTGCACCAGCAGTGCCTGGTACCCACATCACAGGGTTTCCAGGGGCTTGGCAGCCAGGATGTAAAAGGTCTGTAAAAAGACCAAATGCTGGTGTTTTGTCACCTTTTTTTTTCCCCTTCTAAGTGTTAGCTATAATTTTGAGGAGATTTTGGGCTCCTCCTCGGTCTGGTCATAATGGGATATTTGAAACCCAGGGTCTTCTTTTTGAAACAGCAGTCCCATGTGGTTTATCACCTTTCTTTTCTGGCCTGTAATTTGTGATGCTTGTGAGCATCATCCCAGCATCCATACAAAGAATCTCTTTCCTTCTCTGTGCTTGAGCACTTGGCAGCTGCCAAACAGGAAGCATTGAGCCACTCATATGGGCCCATGATGTTTTCTTTTCCTTCCCCACTGCCACAGTGCTGCTGGGGACAAGCCAGGCTTTTCTTCTGGGGTGCCTCATTCAGCACAAGCTTGAGGGTTCCATCCCCCTGCACCACCCCAAAAGTCTTTTGGGGGTGCACAGCAGCCACGTTTTAGCTCCTGATGGCCCAGCTTGGGCTCATATGTCCTTGTTCCCATTTTAGGGTTACCTGGGTGACCCCGGACCAGTTGGGGAGAAAGGAGAGAAGGGAGTGAAGGTGAGAGGGTGTCTGGCCTTGCTCTTGGCAGCCCTGCCTGGGTCAGAGGGGGGTGCTCTTCCCTACCCTGCCCCCTGCAGCCCCAGGCCATGTTCTCCTCCATGGCTCAGGCTGCTCTTGTCTTTTCCAGGGGGTGAAGGGAGAAAATGGGCTGCCAGGTCCTGCCGGGCTTCATGTGAGTTAAGGGGGAAAGTGGGGGTGTCTCATTCCTGCGGAGCCGGGGTTGCTCCTTCCTCCATCCCCTTTCCTTGGCTGACACTTTGCTGCTCTGTGGTGGCCCCAAGCCCCATCCCTGGCTCCAGCCCGTGTTTTCCTGCCTTTGGGCAAAGCTGTCCCTGTGCTGTCCCTCATCCTTCTGCAATGGATGGGACAAAGGTGGGTGAGCACCTCACTGACTCTCCATTCCTGGCTTTTCTCCCAGGGGATGTTAGGTCTGAAGGGTGTGATGGGCTTCCAAGGCCCCGTGGGGCCAGAGGTGAGTGGTTTTGCTTTCTCTTTATCACCAGCCCTCCCTGAAGACGTGCAGGAACCAGCTGCTTCCCATTGGAAAGATGGGGCCAAGGAGGGAGGACTTGGGCTTTGCAGGCCATTACCACCAGTTTGTGATTTGCTTTTACTAAAGAGTGAACCCCAAGAGCTGGACATAAACTGCATCTTTGTCCTGGAGGTGGCTCTTCTAATGGGGACCAGGCACGTTGCATGCTGGGGACAGGAGCATCCCAGCTCATTCTCCTGGCTGGTGATGAAACAAGCTGAATCCCAGGCTGACAGTGTCTGGGTTGCTGCTCTCAGCACCCTGATAGCTTTAAGTGCTGCCACATCTATGGGAGGCATCCAAAGGGTCTGCAGAGGCTGTGGAAGTAAAGTTGCTTTGGTGGTGGTGAATGAAAGCATCTTCCAGCATGAAGAGACTGGGGGAGCCAGGGAATGGCCATGGAGCTGTTCAAAGGGGCATCATGTAGCTGATGCTTGATGTTAAGACTAAAAAGAGAGGATCAGAACAAAGCGGGCTAGACAAACATCATCCTTTCTGTCCTGCTGCAGGGAGAAGGTGGTTCAGTGGGTCCCCCAGGCCCTACTGGCCCCATGGTAAGTCACAGCTTTTCAGTTCAAACCATTGCCAAAACACAGGCGGTGGCTGAGCTGGGGGAGCTGCTGCCATTTAGAGGCAGCAGGACCAGGGCAGGGCCACCATGGGCCACCGTGTCTTGCCTGGTTTCACTCCTTGGGCTGGTTTATACCTGAGGATGTGTCTGCTTGAAGTGCAGCCTCCTGCTAGTGGGGAGTAGGGAATGGCAAAGGATAAAAGGTGTTGAAACTCATGCACATTGGTAAAGACTCATGGGAGATGCCTTGGGGGTTCCCATCCCATCTCTTCTTCATGATGCACGTGGCAGAGGGCTGCTCTCCTCTCCTGTTGCAGGGAGAGCCTGGCCAGCCAGGACCCGTTGGATGCCAAGGTGTCAATGGCTCTCAGGTGGGTCTGCCCCAGCTCCCATCCTTTGCTACTTGGGATTTACCAGCCACCGCACTCACCCTGGCCATTCCCTGCTCTGTCCACAGGGAGATATGGGTCCTCTTGGCTTGCCTGGCCCCCGGGGCCCCCAGGTATGTACATGCCTAATGAGGGATGAGCAACCCTCTTGGTGATGAGGGGTCTTGAGGGTGCCAGGATGGGTCTCCTCCAGTGGGGCTGTGATCTCAACACACCCATTTTGGACGATGGGTGCACGGCTTTGATTCTAACAGCATCTTCTTATCCCCTGCTGCTTTGCAGGGACCACAGGGCTTGCAGGGGAGACGTGGCCCCCCCGGCCCCAGGGGCATGCAGGTAAGTGGGTGCTGTCCTGGGTCCTGTGTCTCCAAGCTGCGGGTACCTCCGTTCGCTTGCTAAGCAAGGAAGGAGCTGTTGGGTTTGTCCCCCATATGCTTTGCAATTGGGTGTGAAATTCTTGTCCCTGTGGGTCTTTGTGGCCCCCTGGGTGGGTGGGAATGGGTGGGAAGGTCAGCGTAACATGGGCAGGGTGCTGGCTGCAGCAGCTGCTGTGGTGAAGGGGAGGGTGAGCTGATGGGGACGTGATCCCTGTAGTGTGACAGGCAGCTTCTGGGGGCCTGGGCAGGGTTCCTATGGGCTGGGGTCTCATCTGCAGAGTTGGGATAGTGAGCAGCATCCCAAACCTCCCATTGCCTTTGCTTCTCCCCAGGGTCCAGCCGGGATGGAGGGATCCTCTGGTCCCAAAGGAGACACTGTAAGAGCTTCTTGCTTTGACTTTGTGGGGATGAAACCTGGGCTTGGAGGGGACCTGAGAGGTGGGGTTGTGGTGTCCTAGCCCTTGATTTGGAGGGGATCGAGGGCTGCAGACATCACCAATGAAGCCTGGAGGACCCTAGCAGCCAGGGTGGGGACCCAGTGGGGATGGGATCTCTGCCCATCACAGCATGACCTGATGTCAGCACTCCTCCTGCAGGGCACAGATGGTGTCGCTGGGGTGAGGGGACAGCCAGGACAGGAGGGGCCTGTGGTGAGTCCATGGCAGTGAGTGGCTGGGTGCAGGGTGCTCTCAGCTCCCCAAAGGACTGTGAGAGGATGCTCTGCTCACCCCAGCACTCCCAGCTTCCTGCAGGGCTTGTGGCACAAGGGCTGGTGGGGTGATGCCATGTACCTGTGGCCACACTGCTCATCTTCAAACCCCAAAGCTCCTCCGAATGCTGCTTGCAGCAACCTTGAGTTTCTACTTTCCTCTCGGCAGAGATGCTCCAGCACCAGCCCTGCCTGTCCCTTCCCTGGAGCACAATTGGGTTCACCCATGTCCCAAGGGCTTTGGGTGCTGAGCTGCCCTTTCCAATGGATAAGGAGTCTGGGGCAGCCTGGGCTTCCTCCCTCCTGCCCCTCAGCATCCCAGCAGAGCATGGCCAATGATCTTAAGAACCATTCCATGATTCTACAATTTGCTTCTCATGTGCTGAACCCCCAGTGTGTCACCCCCACGAGCGCATCGATGTTTCCCTTTGTAACCTGCATTTTGTGTCTCTCTGAAGGGGTTTATTGGCCTGCCAGGTTCCAAAGGTGCTCAAGGAGAGCGGGTGAGTGATGCTCCCATGCCATCCCTGCTTAGGATGCAGCAGCACCGTGTTAGAGCAGCCCAAAGCATCAGCTCCAAATTCTTTGCCTGTGTTTGGACTTGACTTTTGAGTATCTGGGAAGTGCCACTGGAGAAGGCAGAGCTGCACTTGGTCTCACTTTGTAAATAAGGAACTTTCAGACACAACAGTGTGTCCTGAGATACTGTCTGCTTTGGGGAGGCATAAGGGAAGTGGGAGTGCTTTAGCCTATGTTAAAAGGCACAGCAATGAGGACAAGTTGCTTGTCATCCTTGTGGTGGTGTCAGGATGGTGTATCTGAGATGCCACCACCCACTGCTGGAGGCAGGGAGATGGGGGGGATTGGCACAGGGTGCTGGAGGCATGAAGGGTTTGGGGGTGAATGAACCCAGAACCTCGAGATCTCCCCCACCATGAGAAGATCCAGCATGTACCTGCTCCCAGCTCCGAAACCCCCATCAGGAGGGAAGCCCTGATCTGAACTGGCCAAAACTGACTTCCCTTGAGGCCAAAGCCAGATCAGCATGCTCTGGTTGCAAGGAGGGGCACAACAGGGTTTCCTGACATACCCTCCACTCTGCTGCTCTTGCAGGGCTCTCAAGGTCCAGCTGGAGCCAAGGGGGACCTGGGAGCCAAAGGACACAAGGTACCACATACATGGGCTGGTGGGGGCATTCCTCAAGCTGCTTCCCCTTTTGCTGTTCCAGTGTGCTGTTTCAAGCCCTGGCTGTGATCTAATGTGTCTTATTCCTCCAAGGGTCCATGTGGAGCACAGGGAGCAAAAGGACCCCCAGGGATTCAGGGCCAGGTTGGTCTGCAGGGCTTCCCAGGCCCCCAGGGAACAGCGGGGCCCCAGGGACCAGAGGTACGTGCTGAGGCTGGTGTGGGGTGTTGTGGGGTGCTGTGTGCCCAGTGCTGTGCTGTGGGGAGGGGACAGCCCTGAGGGATGCCCATGGTGCATCACTCCTGAGCCTGGGCCATGGGGAAGAGAAGGCTCAGGGGGGACCTTATTGCTCTCTCCAACTGCCTGACAGGAGGATGGAGCCAGGAGGGGGCTGGTCTCTGCTCCCAAGGAACAAGGGAGGGGACAAGAGGAAACGGCCTCAAGCTGCTCCAGGGCAGGTTTAGATGGAGCTGAGGAACAATTCCTTGCCCAGAGGGTGCTCAGGCATTGGAACAGGCTGCCCAAGGCAGTGCTGGAGTCACCTTCCCTGCAAGTGTTCACAGCCCAGGTAGCCGCGGCCTCAGTGCCAGGGGTTAGTGGTGGGCTTGGCCGGGCTGGGGACGGCTGGACTGGCTGAGTTTGAAGATCTTTTCCAACCTGGTTGATTCTGTGGTTCTATGGCTCTGTGAAATGAGCTGGTGGGTCCAGCAGAGCAAGGAGAGGGTGGCTTGAGGCAGGAGATTGATTTCCAGCAGGTCCAATGGCACCTCATCCCCACTGCCTCTGCCAAGCATCTTTGCAGTGTTCCCACTGCTCCATGTCAGCGCAGGGATATTGGAAGCTCATGGGATGCTCTCCTGACCTGATGCTCATCCCTGACTCCTGCCCTGTTCTCTGCCTCCTGGAGCCTGTGCTGGCTCTTGAGGTCTGTCCTGCTTCTCTCAGACCTGCTGCCCAGTTGTGACCATCGTCAGACCCAGGAGCTGAGCTCAGCAGCACTCATGGAGCCACAGAAACAAGGCACAATATTTAGAGTGCCTTTTCCTGCTCTGTGTGCACCGAGTGAGCTGTCAGGATGGACAAACCCAGCCACAGATCAGTATTTGTGTCTGGAGCTGAAACCGGGCTGGCTGCTCACGGCTGGTGGCTTCCAGCTTCTCAGAAGAAGGAAAAGAGGGGGATGATATTTTCCCACCCACCTTTTTGGTTTGCAGCATCGCCTGCGTGTGCTGCCCTCCCCCTCAGGTGATGTTGGCGATGCCTGCCTGGATCTGCTCTCACATTTGCTATTCAAGATGAGAAACAGATCCTTCAGCTCTCGGGGTGATGGAGATGCAGCACGACTCCTCTGCTGCCGCACAGCACCAGCTGGAGCTGGGATATGGGCTGTAATGGAGCAGGCAGAAGCCGCCACACACCAATCCTTTGAATTGCCTTTCCTTCA